TAAGCTTGTAAAAAATAGCCGTACAATGCCTGATAAAATGGCTCCAAAAGCTTATCGAAATATGAAGAAAGGCTATGGACTATGGAAAGAAGGTTATGTAAAAAGTACTTTTTTCAAGCCAAATGTGCAAGCCTCGAAGCTGTTGTTCGTGGTGAAAGCGCGTGTTGGTGCTTCCATGAAGAGCGTCAGCTATCCTGTTTATGTTCATTTAAACCAAGTTAACGGTGAAGTGGAATATGCTAAGTGTTCTTGTAAGGCTGGCCAAGGAGGTTGCTGCAAACACGTAGCTGCTCTATTGTACACTATTTTGGACTTTGTCAATCTGAATTTGAAACACGTTCCTGTGGAATTGACAACAACACACAACTTCCTCAAAAATGGAGTGTGCCCTCTGGAAGCTCAAAGACCCTGGACAAAGCTGTTAAATTTGAAGAAATGCTATTTGAAAAAGCTGATGTGAACAAACCTGCCAAAAGGTATATTGTAAAAGGGAGAAGGGAAGAGTATTGTGCTACTCCACCATTTGCTCGGACTGTGACTGTAGAAGAAATTAAGTCTATGGCAAATGCATTTGAGAAAGCCAATTGCGCTTCACTATTTCGTGAAGCTATAGCCTCAAATAACTATAAGCCATGTGAACTTTTCGAGACATCTTGTAATCAGTTGCAAAATAGAAAACTGGACAACAGCTCTGTTCCTATTCCAACGCAAATACCACCAAGTCAACTGGTTGATCAGATCTTTAAAAATGTGCCAAATGGTTACACCCCTCCATCAGATTATAGCCCAGAACAACTAGAACTAGTAAAAACAAAAGTTGGGTTGACTGTATCCACTGCTAAGGATATATGTTTGAGTACTATGAGGCAAAACAAAGATCCTCAATGGTACGCTGAACGATCTAAAAGGCTTACTGCTTCAATTTTTGGCAAAGTTATCAATCGTAGAAAGAAAAACCATCCAGCTTCACTGATTGAATCAATTTTATGTGTTGATCATGAGAAAAGAAAAGTGCCTGCATCTGTACAGTGGGGCTTGGATAATGAAAGTAATGCAATTGCTAAATATCAAGATGTAACATTAAAAGGCAGTGCTTTTGTCACATGTTGTGGGTTAGTCATCAGTCCCCAGTGGCCATGGCTGGGTTGTAGCCCTGATGGAATTGTCATAAAAGATGGTATTCCAGTTGGATGCATTGAAGTTAAGTGTCCTTACTCAGTGAAAGAAATGAATGTTAATGAAGCTGCACAAAGTGTCAAAGGTTTTTATTTAAAAGAAACCGAAAGTGGATTAGAACTTAAAGTGAACCATGCATATTATTATCAATGTCAAGGTGTCTTGAACATTTTAAATTTACCCTGGATTGATTTTGTGGTATACACCAATGCTGATATATGCATGTTCAGCGTATCTATAAGGACATTTCTTTGTGGGAGAACAAAATGCTGCCAGAACTAACATCATTTTACTTTTCATTTATTCTTCCTTCTGGTAAATGACATTAATAAAACACATCGATTGTTTTTTACTGGCTTTTTTACTTATACCAAAATATGTCACTTGAAGTGGCTATATACCTGATAAAACTCATCTTCATTAGTATTCTTTATATACAGTCCACCCTAATCAGCAACAAAGAATACTAATGAGACAGCATCTATTGTATTAATGTTTTTGGTCATTTAAAGCATTTGTAGTCCTGTTTTATCATATGTGAAATGCTCGTGCTGCGCACTTGCATTTTAATATGATAAAACACTCCTGTGCATGCTTTAAATAGTTTAACCATTAAGGGGTAGGACACACAAAGTTTAATAAAGTTTCACAGCCTACAATGGATTTAATGTGAAAATGTTTTGGACCTAGCCTTTATTATGGGTAAATTTTAAGCCTTTGATAGAATGAAATGCTATTATAGGGTTGCCTTTTAAAAGGTTAACTCCAGCCATGTCAATGTCAGGTAAAATCATCTTGTTAGGCCGAATAAATAATAAAGCAGGGAGGATAGCCAAATTGGGATGGATGGCCAGGATGGCCAAATTGGAAAGCTACGTAACCTTGAATGCAAGAAGTCAACCCAAGTAATAAATATTCTCGAAATATGTGATTGAGACAACCCAGCTCTGGTCGCTATATCTTCTTCTAAAAGCCTTAATCGCAAGCGAGCCAACACAAAGGAAAAATTCCTGTTCAGGTGAATTTGTTCTTTTAGGTCCACGTTTAATTACATCTTCAGAGCTTAACCTTTCCAAATCAGTCTTGGTACCATAATACACCAGATTATTCACTACCGGTCCAAATGAATCAAACAATGTTTTGAAGGTTTTGTAGTCTTCCAGCCCCGTATAAAACCTAATGAGAATGTCATTGTCCTTAAAACATTCAATTGAAAAACGTATTCTTTTCCTCTCTTGTTCCAGTTGCTCCGTTAATCCTCTTATCTCATCTTTTTGACATTTATTTTCATTTTTAAGTCTTCCATTCTCCTCCTTAAGTTTCTCATTAGTTGCTAAAAGTTATTTCGTTTGTTCTTGTAAACAAGCAATAGGATCAATATTCTCATTTACAGGTGTAGCCATTTTATCTGGTTCTTCTATTGAGCGTGATGAATTATTGTTATCATCAAGTTCTGAAAAAAGTCTGCGTTTAGCAGGTACAGATTGCAAAACACTTTCAACACCGAGTAGAAACATTTTTTAGTGAAGTCCTTCTTAGTCATTGTAACCCAATAGGCAAAATAACTTATTATGCTCTTCGAATTGAGTTTCAAATGAGAGGATCTCCCCACTTACATGCATTAGTATGGACTTCTGATTGTCCAAAACTTACTTCTGAGAGCAAGGATGCCTATGTAGCATTTATTGATGAACATGTGCAAGCTAACCTTCCTAATAAACAAGATGAACTAGAGTTGCACGAGTTAGTCAAAACGTATCAAAAACATAACCATTCGAAAACCTGCAGAAAGTACAAAAACGTTCAATGTCGTTTTAATTTTGGACAGTTCTTTACCAAACGAACAATTATAGCTGAGCCTCTCGATGAAAATATGGATGAGGAAGCCAAGTGCACTATACTTAATAGACGAAAAGAAATCCTAACATTAGTCAAAAACAAAATTGATGAAGTCTTGAATCCATCATCAAAAGAAAACTATATCGCAACTGCTACCGAAAAAGATATATTTGATTCAGTTGGTATAGCTGAAAGTGAATATTATTGGGCTCTTTCGATTTCACCAGATTCTGATTTCGACTTACATCTTAAACTACAGTGGATAGTTGTTTTATTAACAATTATTTTGTTGCTGGGATTAAGGGATTTGCGGCAAATGTTGACCTACAACCAGTTTTTAATCATTACAAATGCATAACATATGTATGCTCATATTTTACAAAAGATGAAACTGAATGTTCTCAGGCTATACTTAACGCTGCAAAGGAAGCTAAATCATCTAACACGAACATCAGAGACGGTTTAAAAAAAATTGGTGCTGCTTTTCTTTCTACAGGAGAGGTTAGTTCACAAGAATGTGTATATAGATGTATGCCTGAACTGTGGTTGAGAAAAATATTCCCAAAGACTATTTTTGTCAGTACAGATTTACCAGAGAAAAGAGTCCGTATGACTAAAACTCCAAGTGAGCTTGATGAACTTGATGACGACAGCTCAGATATTTACAAATCCAACATAATTGAGCGTTATAGCCTAAGACCAAAAGGAATTTCTGTTGTTGATAGAATGTGTTTAGCACAATTTGCTGCATTCTATTATAAGGATTATAGGACAGAGAATGTTGAAACGAAGGATTCTCAACCTGATGTTTTAAATGATGACTTGCTTGAATCACATCACTCGAAGGAAGATACAGAACAATCTCTTCCACCCAAAATTGAATTAATGAACAGAAATGAAATAATGAAGTGTAGGAAGGTTCAAGCTATTATAAGATATCATACACCAAATAAAAGAAAAGAACCAGAGTTATATTTCCATCATTTGCTTATGCTGTATTTTCCTTGGAGAAACGAAACAGAGCTCCTAAGTTCCGATCAAACATATACATCCAAATTTTATGAACCTGACGTTCAAGCTATTGTGGAAGAAAACAAAGCTTTGTTTGAACCTGATGCTGATGCTATAACTGATGCACTAGAAGCAATGAGAAATAATCCTGACAAAACAATCCATTCCTATGATACCATAAATGATCAGGAAAATTCAGATCTCCAAGATGAACTACCAAATGATACAAATCCTAACGAGTCATTTAATGAACAGCGACCTGATCATCTTCACCTTACACAATCAAATCAGTCTTCTGCTACAATTACTTATCACAATCAACCATCAGAAATTTCCGATGATCAACTGCGCCAATCAGTTAGATCTTTGAATGCAGAACAAAGGTGTGCATATGATATAGTTCTGTCTTGGTGCAGAAAACTAATAAAAGACATGAACAGTTTAAAACCTGTTGAAATAAAACCTATATACCTCTTCCTTACTGGAGGTGGTGGCGCTGGCAAAAGTCACTTGATTAAAACAATATACTATACGGCAGTTAAAACGTTTAGACATCCTCCGTTTAACCCTGAATTACCAACGGTTCTATTAATGGCACCTACAGGTGTTGCAGCTATAAATATTGATTTAAATACAGGACTTGCTATTCCTAAGAAACAGGTGAGAACCTTTCGGCAATGTCTGACCAGAGAAAAACACAGTATAGACTTTCTTTAAAAGACGTAAAACTTATAATTATAGACGAAATTTCTATGGTTGGAAACACAACTTTGTTACACACTCACCAACGATTAAAGGAAATCTTTGGTTGCTCTTCTACCAAGTTATTTGCACAAATAAGTATTATATCTGTAGGTGATCTGTATCAGTTACCTCCAATAAAAAAGAGACCAGTTTTTGATGCTTACAAAATTGAAGCACACAATCTCTGTCATCCATGGAGGGTTTTTAAAATGGTCGAACTTACAGAAATCATGAGGCAAAAAAACGATAAGGCATTTACTGAGCTTCTCAATAGAGTAAGAACAGCTTCTCATACTGAGGATGATATTAAAGTTATTCAATCAAGAAGAGTTTCGCCATCTGATCCCAACTATCCATCAGATGCACTTCATATTTGGGCTGAAAATTCTCCTGTTAATGAACACAACCAAATGAAACTGGAAGCCATTCAAACACCGCTATATATACTTAAAGCAAAAAATCAATATCCACCAAATGTTAGTAAACAAGATATTGATAGAGTTTTAGCAAGAGGACGATCTGAAACATGTGGTCTTGATGCCGAAATTCAGATTAAAGAAGGCGCCAGAATAATGCTTACTACAAATATCAATATACAAGATCGACTTATCAATGGGCAAATGGGAACTGTAGTAAAAATTTATGCTAACATTAAAAATGTACCAACAGTTGTATATGTAAAATTTGATGACGAGAAAGCTGGAAAAACAGCAATAAATACAAGTACCAATCCTTTTGCTAGAGAAAATCACGTTGTACCAATTCAGCCTGTTCTTGCAAAAATTAAAGTTAGACCAGGTAAAGCATCTTCACCTGAAATTCAGAGAATACAATTTCCCATAGCACTTTCTTGGGCTTGTACTGTCCATAAAGTGCAGGGACTTACTCTTGAAAATGTTGTTGTCAGTTTGGACTTAAAGAAGCAAAGATCTTTCAACTATGGACAAATTTATGTAGCGTTAAGCCGTGCAACATCCTTACAAGGTTTACACATACTCGGAGAAATACAAAGTAAACATATCAAGGCAAATCCCAAAGTACATGAAGAATACGAAAGACTTCGAAACTCCAGTTCATGCTTAAACACACCAATAGAAAAAGATTGCTGCTTTATTCAGTTCTGACAATATCACTGTTGAACATCAGATCTCTGAGAAAGCACAGTAAAGATATCAGGTCGCATTCTCAGTTGTTCAATTCTGATGTACTAGCACTAACTGAGACACAGCTTTTACCTAATGACTCTGACATAGAAATTACAAACACTTTAAAACCTTTTAGAATTTATCGTCAAGATCATGCAGACAAATACTCCAGCATGGCAATCTGTATAAAAAGTAGTTTGGAAATACAAGATTATGAATACATTCATTCACTTAATGCACTTAAGTTCAAACTGGTTGACACTAAACTACAAGAGTCGCGTTCTTTCCTTTTATTATATAGAAAAAACACCTCCAATATCTCACATCATTTGGAAGCATTAGAATATATCCTTAATAGTTCCAGAATTGACATGGTCCTTGGTGACTTTAATATTAACTACCTTAATCAAACTCAATCTCAACCGCTAGCGTCATTAATGGAATCCCTAAACTATACTCAAGTTGTTACCGAACCCACATTCGTTTCTTCTGGTAGCTTACTAGATCATGTGTATGTAAGACCAAATTCTTTAAGAATACTGAACAATTCTGTTGTAAGTGTTTATTACTCTGATCATGATGCTGTTGTCACTTCGCTACAGTACTGCACATAGTAAATTTTTTGGCAATATTGTTTTATTTCCTATATGTATTTGTAAGTAATGCATGTATGTTTGGGTATACTGATTGAATGCCAAGTGTTTGTATGAATGCCAACTTTTCCTATGCAAGAAAACCTTTGTTGCAGTTCATACTGCAACACCTGCTTCCCTCTCATGACACCTCTCGTGCTTTCATTCTCGATGATTTGGTGGATTCTTATTCCTTAGACAATATAAAGATAAGCTCCATTTCCTATTTTTCATTAACTTAGATCTTTTTGCATCATGTGATCAACATAGTTTTCATATTTTATAGGTTGACGCCAGCCACAATGAAAAACTACAAGTTGTTCATGAAATGAAGAACACAACAGCTAACGGGGAGGAGATGCTGGATTCTCGCTAGCTTCAAATTGGTAAGATCTCTATGTGCAGTATAACATAAAAAATCTATTGTTCTGACCGAAAACTAGCAAAAACAAACTTTTATTTATATAGACTATGATTTCTATAAATAAGACAACTCATTTTGAAAAGCTGCCCAATGGATGGTTTGGGTTCAAATTAGTAAGGTGTTTTTTGGCCAAAGTATTTTTAGTGTACAGCATTCCAATTAGTCTTTTTACTCTTTGTATTATCCACCAAGTAACCTGTCATTACGGACAGTGGAAACCCCCAGGAATAATTAATGTGAAACACTGTGTTTACTCTAGGCCATGAATAATTCAATCCTCAAAAGTCCCCAATGGCCAATCCCCAGTGGTGATATCAATGATGATGAGTCATGAAGAAATCCCAAATGTGACGAATGCTGGCGAATTCCAATTGAGTGTGCAGGAAGTTGAATCTAGATGCGACAAAAGCCTGTGACCCGGACGGAATATCAGCACCTATTCCTAAAGAATATAGTCGTGGTATTGTACCAAGTCTTTGTTAATTCTTTAATTTATCCTTGTGTGTTGGACGACTGGTTGAGTGGAAAGCAGTTAATTTGAAACCAGTTCGCAAGAAAGGCTTGAAAGGGCCAGCGGAAAATTACCGGCCAATATCGCTGTTGCCCATTAACGCTAAAATAGTGGAACGTTTTGATGCAAACAACTTTACGGTCAGGGAATCAGATATATTTCCCTCAGTCAACATGGATTCTTGTAAAACCGATGAGGTATAACACAAATCCTACAGGTTGTTCACAAGATTGGAGAAAACTTTGACTACAACATACAAACTGACGTAACTCATTTACATTTTGCAAAAGCCTTTGACTCTGTTGACCACTGTTTAATCTTGGCAAAACTCAAGCAATATATATGGTGTCTGTGGACGGATGGTTCAAAGACTATTTAAATGGCAGAACACAAAGAGTTGTCACTAATGGTGTCGCTCCAAATTGGTCTTGTGTTACATCGACGTGTCTCAGGGAAGCATAAATAAGACAAACAACAAAGGGCTGAGTAAAAACGATTTACCAAACATCATTGCCGAAAGCTCCGTTCGGAGATCTGATTTTATTCTACAAAGCCCTTTAACGTATGACAAACCTTGATGCCCACAAACATGTTTTTTTCTTCCCCACAACCGAACTTGTCACAGCAACAATCCAAACCTCGTACTCAAAACTCCCTTCTGCAATCCATCCACCTACCATGCAGACGTCATACTTCAATCCAATTGTGAAACAGTGTTTGCAGTTCAGCTGCCCCAGATACATTCTCTTGTTTGAGAACATTCAAAAACTACCTTTATGAATTATGAACATTATTCTAAGTTAGTATGTTCTGTTTTTGATGTTAATTTGCTATGTACCAGATCAGTGCCACGTGAATGTCCTTGTTATCGTATTTGACCGTCTTGTGTTTTTGTATTGTAATTTGTTGTTCTGTATTTTGCTTGTTTTCTTCCTTATAGTAAGGGTAATTGTCACTGTTGACATTACCTGTTGTTCGTAAACGACGTTGTGTGCTGTTCTTGCAAAGGTCGTTAACGCAAATCTCCTCACATTGCATGGGATCGAGGTAATTTGGAGGCGATTTTCTCCCATTTAAAGCTTTATACCTTTTCATCAGTGATCTCGCTTGCACGTGGAGTGGCGCGACTCCCAGAGGCGTCTGGTCTCCGTTGGCGCGACTCCCAGAGGCGCCTGGTCTCCGTTGGCGCGACTCCCAGAGGCGCCTGGTCTCCGTTGTTATTGTCATTGTTATTGTTATTGTCATTGTTATTGACATTCTTATTGTCATTGTTACCATAGCACTGGAGAACCATTTGGTGTATGGATAACTTCTCCAGTGTTTGTTCTGTAGCTTAAATAACTAAAAATTTATGTAAAAAATCATTTTACTAATAGGAAACGTCGCTGATACAGTTAAATTAGATTAGCAAACATATAAATGTTATGCATGTTACTAAATAGTTTTGATGGGACTCAATTTGGAACTTGTGTAAGTTCTGTTGTCCTCTCTTTCAATCATGTGTTAATATATGTTATATTGAGTGAAGTTAATAAATAAACATATACGTTGCAACACCAAACCATAATGCCACTACGGCACTAGTCGGTTTCCATTCTCATATGACTTGGTGAATTATTTTACAAGGTAATTTCACCCTTTCTTGGCATGTAGAAATCTATTTTTGAAAATTATTTCGCCAGTGCCATCACATAACTGAGACGTTTCTTAAGCCATTTACAAAACTCGTAGTTAGTACTTTATCACATCTAAAACACTGGCCTTCGCGTCGTGTTTTACATGTGATAATGCACTCCTTCTCGTTTTGTAAATAGTATATAAAGGCTAGCCAACAAATGTACACATGGGAGCGGAACTTCTTTAATTACGACGGTAAGACATCTGTACATATGCACTATTATGCATTCCAGTTGTTTTCGTCTGCAACCAAAAAATATGTGACGTAATATGGTGACGTCATAAGTGTTCGTAAATTATCGAGCATAAATGCGTAATTTTATGAAACAATGAAACAAACATATTTTAACATACTGTAACTAGCCAATTCCAACTTTTAAAAGTAACACGGAAGCTCAAAAACCAATGTTGTAATATTGATTACAAATAAACATTCGAAGCCATGTTTCAAAAGCAAACCAAAATTGAACAGTTACATTATGTAACCATTCCAACGGCCCATCACCTCATTTTGTGACCTTTTGTCACATTCTTTCCTCACCTGCAGGTGGAGTGAACGCCTTGAGCAGGCGTCTTGTTTTAAATAAGTTTGTCTTGTAAATAGAGTGGAGTGAAGGCCATTTTACATTTTCAGCTGCTTCCAGAGAGGAAGTTTCCTTGGGAAGATTGAATATGATTTTGGCTGCCCTGCCATGAAGCCTTTCCAAAGAGTTGAAATTGTCTGAGTTGTTACAACCTCCCCACAGCATTATCCCATAATTAACTGAAGGTAAAATTACCTTAAAGTAAAATTACTTCAGGACATCTCTGGGCAAGAATCTTGAACTCTACAACAAACCTAACTTATTTACAAATTTCCTTTTAAGCTCCAGGGTATGAGGTACCTAACTTATCTTATCGTCGATAGTCATACCAAGTAGTCTTGATTCTTGATTAAAGAAGTTCAAGACAACCATTGAAAATATCTTATGGTTTGGCTTGGGGGACTTAGACAGCATTTTCATAGATCTGGAAGGAAATGCTGTGGAGAAGTTAAAAGAATGTAATTTGCTGTCTTAGAGTCCCGTTGCTGCTTTCAGCCTGGATCAGTGGTTTGAGCTAGAATTCGCCTCTGATGTCAAGATAAGGGCAAAGCTTGATGAACAAAATCTTGCTGCGTCCTTTTACAACAACAAAGCCATCTACTAATCTCTTGGGCAAGAAATGTGCGTTGCTTTGGATGTTGCTTTAGCTGCTAGTGGCTGTGAAGCAATCATAGAAGGTTTTTACAGTGGGTACGAGCAGCTAGGAAGCACAATGACAATTTAAGCAAAGTTGTGGACAGGCTCAAAAATGCGAAACCAAGATGTCCTCACATTATCTTAGCTGATGTTTGAGAAAAAAATTCACTTACTGTTTTCAGTATGATTGAACACCACTGATTTAAAATGACAAAGTATAACTTTTGTAAGCTTCATTACCTTCTTCGTTTCAAAGATATTTAATTAAGAGTAGTAGACCTAGTAACCTAGATTTGTGTGTCTGTGTCT